TAGTATGTCCTGTGAATAGATATAGATTGTTCAAAACCGACGCGAACAGAAAGATACACGAAATCACTGACCCCACGCATGGTGTGAGAAGAGGATCACATGAGCACTGATATTTTGAGAACTTGGCATGTTGTCAATAGGACCAGGATCGGTGAGATAAGGGGTCTTTGAATGCTGCGAAGTCAGTAGTGCAAGCTTCGGGGCTTAAATACATTCTGGGAGCATGGTGAGTACAACAAATTTACGGCAGAAGTAATCCGGCTGAAACACCGCGAGATTTAATTGCACTTGCAACTTGCCGTGCGTATTCGTACAGGTGCTTGGAAGCGTGATGAGCGTGCTTGATTGGAAAAAGCGTGACGGCTACATAACTATCTTGTACAAATTCATAAGCAAACCGGAGGAGCGTTCCGTAGTGATTTTCGAGGCGAGTAGGATCGACGATGCTCAGTGGTCAAATGGAGATCATGACAAGACATGCATGACCATGTGGGATCTATATCGTAACAAGGAACATCGAATGGGTGAGAATGACACCCCACGACACTTCCCGCGTCCCCACAGAATGGGTTTATGAGTCAATGGAGAAATTGTAGCGAAGTTGTATAGGCTGCGCACCGGAATTCACCAAATAGCTGAATCAACCCAACTACAATATTGCAATGTTGCAATTTGACCCGTGCTTGACCAACACGAGCAGAGCATGCCGCAGGAGCGTGTCCTTCAAGTTCGATGTTCAAGCCAAGCTGGGTCAGGCTGCGCTGTTAGAGCGTTACCTTGCTTCCGGAGATATCGATCATCGTTCTGATATGATAATGTATTTTCGTTGGTTGGGTTCACGGCGTACACGCCTAACGTGCGACAGTGTCATATCCATTGAATCATTAGTTGGTTTCAAGGCCCTGCATTAGCCTGCATTTCGAATCTAAAACACGAGTCTGAAACATTTCATTTGCGGGCCTGTATAGGTTTGTATGAACAGCTTGTCAAAGAGGTACAGGTAGCACCAGTTCAGGGTCCTGAGTCTTGGCTCTCAAGTACCCCACCGATTCAGCGATTTTGGATGTGGGTAGTATCCTGGGACAATTGCGGGAGCAACGTGGCAATGGACGAGCTCACCGTTTTCACAGGTCAACCGGGTCACGGACTGCTTCGTGACGCATTGTGGTCCCAGCGGAACCTCTATAAGCCATCTGGCCAGGACCAGTAAATGCCGTACTTCTGAGGGGATAATACTCGTAGCTATACATGGCAGGTAGCCTGGGCGTGTTAACGACCAAATCGAGGTGTTCCATGAGGTCCTGACAAAGTGACTGAGTAGTTTGACCGTAGAAATTCTCGACCGCGAACGTACAATATCGGGGCTATAGGGGCCCGGTTTGCTAGGGATTCTGCGCGATGAGCAGAGCGTAGGCGGCGATGAGCTTGACTTTGCAGCGCTCGGTCGCGGTCGCTCTCTACGGGCGTTGTTTGCTGTTATTAGGATCACAAGCGTTTGTCATTTTTGGACAGCTCCATCGGCCAATCAATGAGTGACTTCCCGTAAGGATTTAGAACACGGTGGACCCCCCTAAAAAGGCAATGGTGGGGACCCCTGCACAGCCCAGCGTGACATTTTGAAACTCCGACGTCTCCTCCAGATGCTAAGCGCCCTTTCCAGATGGCTGAATCTGAACGTGGTTGTCTCCCCACGTTCAGATTGCTTGAAGCCTTCCAGACGGACTTTGGGCTCTTATACCCGCCTCTTAGCGCCAGTCCTCGTTCTTGCATGCCCATTTCAGGTATCCGGCCAAGTCACGCGTCCGTTCCCCAAGCGCTTCTTGGAAGTTCCAAGCCGTTCTTGAGTTGTTCTAAATTCTGGAACTTTTCTAGGGTTCGTTGCTTACGGTTTCGTTCTAAATTCCCAGTCACAGCGCTTTCCCCTTCGCACAGCCCCAGCTTTTGTTCTAAATCCTTACGGGAAGTCACTCAATGCCCCAGACGTTCGCTGCGGTGGTGGGGTGCGAGAGAACGGCTGGGCACGAGACCACGCACTGCGATTGCACTGCGACCTTCCAGATCTGTCAAGTCCTGTGAATGGCCAAAGGCGCTGGAAGCATCCTTCGAGTCAACTACTTTGTCTCTCTAACCGTCTCAAATATGAAAGAATGCATATCAAGGTTGAGTATCCCAAACGCAAGGTGATGAGTCGTCAAGTTAGTTCCGACAGTGACAGGTAGAGTAGCGGTACCCAAGGTCTCATGCTTCAGATTCTGATACTCAAGCCCAATACTTCAGGTTGAAGTCTATCTATAGATAACCCAATGTGCGGGGTTGGCCTGAGCGTGCTACCTATCACAGCGTTCCATATGGTTCAAAGGGATTCAAGGACAGAAGAATCCTGCGTTGGCACCGTGATGCGACACGTTGGGTTGACAATGGCATCTTGGACACACGCACGTTCTGATCAACGAGCACTTACAGGACGACGCATATGGTTATTTCTTGTCCATGCTTCAAGTTCTTTATCTGGCGGAGATATAAACACTCTGTCTCCTAGTGACAACATGCCTGGTTCCCCACTATGCGGTTCTCACCCAGCCTTTCAGTCCTCTTAGCAGCTGTTGCTCTCGCGTCCGCTACACAGATCACGGAGATCCAGGGACCATCCTGGCAGTCGCCTCTTGTTGGCAAGACAGTCAACAATGTCACTGGGATCGTCACCGCAAAGGTATGTACACGCTAAATATTCGTCTCATTCAACATGGCTCTCTACACTTGACTTATTGCGATGGCAGGGGACCAGTGGCTTCTACTTTCAGGGGGATCCTTCTAATGACATCAGAAAATCCCGCGGTCTCTTCGTGTTTTCAACCTCGAGCACTGTCCTGAGTAACATCAACGTCGGGGACAAAATTTCGTTGACAGGAAGGGTAGCCGAGTTCCGCTCCAGTTCAGACCCGGATGACCTAACAGACACGGAGCTGGATTCGCCCACCAATATCGTTGTACAGTCTTCAGGGAATGTAGTAAAACCTACGGTAATTGGTGTTGACCGGTTTCCGCCTACCCAGGCGCTCTCAGCTCTCGACGTTGGTGCCGATGGTTGGCTCACGGTGCCGAACAACCAGTCTCGCGTTGATAGTGTGAATGCCACGCTCCAGCCGGCCAAATTTGGCATGGACTTCTGGGCCAGTCTGGAAGGACAATTGATTACCGTTCCAAGTCCTGTCGCTATTGACTTCGAGAATAACTTTGGAGAGTTCTGGATACACGGCAACTGGCCTGTCACGGGCAAGAACGGTCGCGGCGGTCTGACGATCACCATTGGTACGCGAAACCTGGTAAGAACATGGTCACGTCATTCATAACTATGCTTCAGGTCCCGATGGTGTACCCGATGCGAATCCCGAAACTATTATTGTAGGGAAACCTTTGGACGGTACTAAGAATCCGAAGGTATCTGTAGGCAAGACTTTTCAAGACATTACAGGAGTTGTTCAATATCAGTTCGTCGCTTTGCTTTCATATGGCACGAGGTTGGGGAGTACTGACCCCAAGCAAGATTCGGATTCTACTACATATTGCCTTTGACTGCACCCATCGTTGTGTCCACTCCTGACCCAACAATTCCTGCCACAAAGCTGAAGGCATCAACTGACGCATGTGTCGTGACAATTGGCGATTACAATGTACGCGCAATGATAATGTCCCAAATTCTTCCGCCTCAGCTAATATTTTGACCTATAGGTCGAGAATATGACCCCGACGGGAGCATCCCACATCAACGCCGTCGCCTCGCAAATAGCTAACCTACTGCTTTCCCCCAACATCATGTTCGTCCAAGAAATCCAAGACAATTCGGGTGCAACAGACGACGGAACAGTCTCTGCAAACGTCACTCTCACCAACCTGGCGAACGCCATTACCACAGCTGGATCAAATGTCAAGTATAGCTTCACTGAAGTTGTTCCAGTCAATGACCAGGACGGCGGACAACCTGGTGGAAATATCAGACAAGCGTACTTGTACGTCGCCAAAGCTTTGTTACTACCTGCCTTCGAATCGAATATGCTTTAGGTACGATTCGTCAAAGGTCAGTCTCGCCACTGGTCCTCCTGCTGGTGGACCATTGGACGCTACAAAACCAGTGATAGGCTCCGATGGAAAGGTGACACTTACGTATGTTTCACGTTCTCATCCACATATTCTCTAGCGTTGCATAACCCTCTATGTCGAATAGATTCAACCCCGGTCGCATTGATCCCACTAGCTCGGCTTGGAATGCTAGCCGCAAGCCTCTTGTCGGATTATGGGAGACAACATCGGGAAAAAGGTTTTTTACCATCAACTTGCATCTGACTGCAAAGCTGGGTAGTTCGTCTACCCAAGGAAACTCAAGACCACCCGTGAACGCCGGCGTGGGGCAGCGTACCAGTCAGATCCAAACCGTCGCAGTAAGCTCGATTTCGGACCAATTTAAGTCAGCTTTTCCTGACGTCCAAGCTGTAGACATTCGTGAAGTCAATCCTGGCCCTTGACCCCAAAGCCTCAATCATCGTCGCAGGGGACTTCAACGAATACGTTCAAACACGCTCCGCATATACCTCGTTCTCCAGAATCCTCACCGAAGCTGACGAAGCAGCCAATATCGACCCCGTGGAGAGGTACACCTACGTATTCGACCAAAACACCGAGCAGCTCGACCATATCTTCGTTTCTGATGCTGTTGCGAAGAGAGGTGTCGAGGTTGAGCATGTTCATGTGAATAGTTGGGCTGCGAGTGAAAGTGCGAGGACGAGTGACCATGACCCTAGTGTCGCTCGGCTGAAGGTGTGTTGAGCCCAGTTGTGGAAGAGATCATAAATACTGGCATCTTGATATTGTGGCTTAAGGAAGCATACAATTGTAATTTTCTCGTGTACCATAGAACCATTGTACCAGCCTCTGCACTCTGCCTAGTACTTGCACGCAAGTTGCCGTGTAAAACTGAATGACGCAAAAAACATGGGACAACATAATGCGCCGAGGGGGAATCGAACCCCCGGCGGGTCGAGTATGTTGTTCTCGACATGGCAACGACCCAGGTTACCACTACCCCATCGGCGCTTATAGTTCTTAGCCTCAGGAATGCAACATAGTAAAGGGGGTCTTGGAAGCTTGAAAGCTTGGACGTGAAAAAGTTAGAAAGTTCAAAACATACGCCTAAGATGTACGGGAATAGTGAACATCAGACATGTGAGTATGTGAACACACAAACATCGAGTAAGTTTGGGTTATGCGTTAGCCCGTCCAAGCTCGCGATAGCTAGGATATTCAGATATTCTCCCCTTCCAACCATCTTTTCACCAACTCAAGCGATGCTTCTGGTTGATCATAGGGTACCTAGGAGGAAGACTCAGGGTAAACAATCCGAAGCACAGCAACTTCACATTCAACGTGCTCACCATATGGCCAGCACCGTAGATAGTAGCAAATGTCAATGGACCCGCACTACGCGTGAGTCCAGCGGCCGTGCCGTTAACCTTCCATTCAGCCAAAGGTTGGGACACGAATGCCTCCTGGTCATTCCATTCAAGTGACAGCGTCATCCTTTCGTTTCCAACCTAGCGCAAGATGATGAATCGACATTCACTCTTTCGGAAATGATTTGAGGATCCTCACCCAGTTACAAATCCAGTCGTTTGCACCGACATAGATCAACGTCCTGATTCCGCGGTCGAGAAGCGCAGAGATGTAGTAATGCGTTGGGAACCATGAGTCCAATGCGTTAGCGAAGTTTGTTAGTATTTCCCTGTTACATGAGGAGAAGTTCCCAACGGAAGGGTCAACGCCAATTGATTTTCGGACTTTTGGTGAGTCCAAATAAGCAGAGATCGTCCTGTTGGAAATACACATTCAGAGACCTGACTTGATGATGAATGGACTTGAGCTCACTTTGTTATTGGGTAACAAAGCGTGTCCCGTAGTTCTCCTTCACTATAGATAGATGAATGTTGCATTTCACCAGAATCAAGATAAATGCGTACCAAAGCTTCGTGAGATCATATGGGTTGTATCCTGTACATTGAGAAATTCATGTTTGACGGAGCTTGCATGTCACTCAGGCTTAATCCTGCGTACCTGAAGCAGAGAACGGGCCACGGAAAGCGTCCGAGCAGAAAGTGGCGGCTGCGTTGCAGTCAATGGCATCCATAGTATCACGACACGATGCTTTGATACGTTGCTCGCAGCGAGGCAGCTATGTCTGCGGTCAATTCTCACGCAACTCAAAGCATTAATTTCTATGGACTGACCAGTTGTCGCATCCCAACGCATTCTCTGGCCACCGCAAGCGTGTTGAAACTATGACGATTCATACAATAAACTAGTAAATGGACTCACGAGACACTGTTTATAGGTGCAACAGACTTCGGCGTGCATTGCATGTCATAGTAGGAAGGCACCATCGTAGACCAGTCAGTGCAGCCATTGCCTTAGCATCATCATCAGGTTATGAAACATGTCGGAGCGACGAAGACTACACACCTATCATGATAGACGTCAAATTGATTGGCGTCACTCCACTGTCCTTTAGCTTCGCATTCTGGTCGTAAATCTCTGAAGCAAACACGGGGATATAACGACCCTATAGCACAAGTCAGTACTCCATCTGTCAAACAAAGCTAAGCGTACTAGCCCCATAGGATTCTCCAGCCATGTGAAAGCTTCTGCCCTTGAATTTGGTGAAATGTTCGAAGAAGATGGTCACAAAAGCCGCAATATCTTTGGCTGCCTCCTCTGTGGTGCTCTGTATAGTTACATGGAATTGAACCTCGGAGATTACAGGTATTATTTGGATACGTACAACAGTCTCCCCGTATTCAGCATAGGAATAACCGACGCCGATAGGTTGGTCAATGAAGAAGATGTTAGCATGTTCGTTCCATGAGTGCGGATTGAAAGTGGTCGCGTTTTCTTGCTTTACACGACATGGTCCTAGTGATACATAAGGAGTGAGACTGGTGTAGGTTCACTTTGCAGAATCATCGTAAGTTACCTAGCTCCATGAATAACCCCAAAGCAGAGGAGCACCCAGGGCCACCATTAGTCCAGAAAATAACGTCGTCCTCATCTGGGTTACTTCTACTTTCAAAGAAGTAGAAGAACAGATGCCTGACTTGTATGTCAATGTATCCCGTGTATGCACTGAATTAAATGGTATTTGTCAGAAGGCATGGGAATAAACATGATATGATGTCCAGAAACGAACTTACTTGACAGTACCGTCACAGAAATCAGTAGATTTCTTTACCCTTACGCTGTACTTCGGAAATACGGGGTGAGTCAACGTCGTGAACGAATCACTGGACAACAAGCTCAGGTCTTCCATAGGAGAGAATAGGCCCTCATCGTAACCCTCGAAGGCTACATTCGGATTCACATTCAATGAACCAGGGGGCGATGCAACACCGAACACATGTTGAGCAGAACAATGTCCTACTGTCGCCGCAAGGCCCAGCAAGCTGAGGGGTGAGGTGAACATCATGGTAGTTGGGAAGATAGAATGTTCACAAGGCCTGCTTCCGCTACATGTGGTACTTTATACTTATCTGCTCGCGACCCTCACGGTCAGGGGGTTAATAATAGTGATGGAGTAATCGGCAACCAGCCGACTCCGAATGGGACGGTGTGGGACAGTCTGAGCAGATCATATTTTTGGTTATGAGAGTACCCCGCGTTACAATTACCGCAAAACAGAATAGAGAAAGGAGCTGGCAGCCGTTGGTCGTCGAGCTCTGGTGAGAGCAGGTGAGAGTCAAAGTAGAAAGAGAAGTTCGAGACGCTGTGATGTCACCACACCGGCAAAAGGCGAGTCGGAACCTTCCGATAGCTTTCAGCTAACTAGTACTGTTAAACTTGCATCTCGCTTGCATTCACCTGGCAGTGAGAGAAGTTGCACGAAGTTGTGAGTGTGTAACATATCTACCACCTCTAAAGCCATTCGTATCACGACAGAACGACGGGGATCACATTCGATTTTGCGTGTAAGAAAGACACAAATCCATTGTACAGGCTAACGTCTTATCGGTTTATGTGTCAAGCACGAGGATCCGTCAAGAAACACAGATCCACCACATACGCCCACTAAACACAACTCATCTTAGATCGTACATACATCCAATTCAAACCATGTTCAACGCCAGGTATCATTCTCGGTGAAACTTCCACTAGAAGGCGTGGTGATCTGGCGGTTGGGATCGGACTCCCAAGTGACCTGCCCGTTGAACTTCCGGATGTACTTGTATTGAATTGAAGTGCTCGCCGGGAGGTTTACGGTCACTAGATACGGCGTTCTGATTAAATAGTGCTCCATAACGGTCAACGAACGTTAGACTCACCACTCCACGTGGGGTAGTTCGCGGCAGATAAGGCGATGGCGTTGTCGGGGGACCAATTCGTAAAACGGCTGGACTCGAGCCTACCATCGCACAGCCCCAGATTTTGTTCTAAATCCTTACGGGAAGTCACTCAATGACGTCACACCGGTGAGTGGCGACTGCGGTGACTGAGCGACATGACTCTTAACTCTTATTCACCATCATACACCAGCCTGAGTGCATCTACTGTGTCCGATCATCCACATATACCACACAAATCATGTCTGTATCGCAAGAGACTGCCGCAAGATCGGATTCACCTACATCTGCAGTGAGTACATTACTTGTTTTACCAGCAGGCTCGTGTAACTTCATCAATGGTTCATTGCAATTTCAGAGCCAGATAGCTGATCAGCACGCATACGATTCCCAACAGCAACCGCATTTACCCTCAGAAACAGTGCAACCCGGCACTGTGACTGCCGCTAGCCAACAAGGTAAGTCCGGAACCATTTTGTCCGAGTCGCTCTACTTGAGATCCCGGCGTATGACTAACACCTTTCTAGGTGCAACACAGCCGGGGTCAGGTTCTGAAGTCATTGCTCCAAATGTCGGCTCGCAGCAACACGAGCCCTCATTCAAGGAGAGAGTGGTCGGTGTAGCGAAAGAAATCCGCGGAAGTGTTCTGAACAAAGTGCGTAATGGATTTTTTGTGGAAATGTCTTGCATTTCCTGATCATGGGTCATCATCTCGCAGCCGGAAACCAAAGAGCAGGGAACGAGAATCTTGAGAGGTGAAGAGGTGTTTGAGCCAAAGAAGATTGGACCGAAAGCGCCTTAAGTTGTAGTAATCGTCTTCGTACTCCCTTGAAGGGATCTGTACCATTATAATTCGATGTAGCGTACGTATCCTCTGTTCATTGTATTACTTCCAATACCACGCAATTACGGGGTCATTCATATTGATCGCGCGAAAACGTCGACGTCTTCAAGTCTCTCTCATGGTGCACGTGATCGTGTTGCCAAACATGAAAGAACACTATCCATAGTCTCATCTGACAGTGGCACATGCAGTGGCAGTGGACAGTAATGTGTGGCAGGTCCTTGTTGCTTCCGTCAACTTCGCTTTGCCTCTAGAAGGTGCTACTGTGCCACTGACGAGTCCATAAGTAGGGAGCCTGAGATGCTCACGGCTCAACAGCAGACCAAAGCTGCCCGCACGATCTGGAGGGACATCAACCTCTGCAATATTAGCTGTCTACCCAAGTGGGTACTATCCCCACCTACACTCTCGACCATTCTTCCTAACGATATTTCTTTGATAGTTGCGAAACATGACCTCGAGCATCAAGCCCTATTTCTCTGATGTCCCCATCGAAATTTTCGAGCGAATCGTTGACTACCTCCCCAGAGATGATGGATACACACTCTCAGCTGCTTCCAAAGTCGCGCGGAAATGGAACACCGTGCTTCGCAAGCGACTTTTCGCGTCGTTGAACGTGGGTGTCGATTCCGAGTCAGCCGGTGGGCCCATGGTACAAGACTTCCGGGACTTCCTCAACGCCTCACCTGACGTACGAGAGTCAATAGAAACCCTCTCATTCAGCAACGTCACCTCCAACTCGATGTATTTTCCAGCTGTGTCTGAGCTGACCGACATCCTTGATTCCTTACCTCGTTTGAAGAATCTTTCGATTTCCTCGCTGTGGCTATTGAGCAAACCGAGTCAACATTCGGAGGAAGAGGCAA